AATAAAATAAAATAAAACAACACTGCCATAAAGCAACTGGGTGCCAATGCATCTCTTTGTTTCCTCTGGAGAAGATCTTTCAAACATCCCTAGATTGTCCCGAACATAGTCCTGAAGCACTTCCCATAAGGGCAACAAACTGCCAGGAGAATGAGAAGACCAGTATCTCAGATCTCTTCTTACAAGTTTTGTTTCCTGAGATTAAAAGCTCATCTTTAGATGTTTTCCTCCCAGAACCAAGCCTTGAAGGCACTATCAAGGGTCAGAATAGGATAATTCCAAAGACTTGGGGACTCCCTCTGCTTCTACCTACCCTGTTGAATATATGGAATATTCTTTCCTCGATGACAGAATCCGATATGAAGAAATCTGAGTCTGATCTCACTCAAGTTTGCTGTTTACACCTCATTTCATTCAGACCTCGAACAAGGGACCCAACCAGTCTGAAAACCTCTCGGGGACTAGAATTGAAGAAGTGTTAATAAAGGAGAAAGGAAAAGAACTTTCCACAAAATATTGTAATGTAAAATGATCCTGTTGAGGATTCCAACCAGCCATGTCCTTTGCATGGGGTAGCTGGTGGGGCGGAGTGATTTACAGAGACCACAGAATGGGAGAAAACAGATTAACCCAGTGCTTGGCACTGGTCACCTACCAATCCTGGAATCTATTAAGATTTGGCCAGCAATAAGGCAGAGGGTGACGGTGTGCGTGTGTGTGTGTGTGTGTAGATGTGCAAGTCACACGAACCTTCTAGCCCTATTTATGAAGCTCCCAGAACCCTCCAGAACTGGGCTGCTGAAATTCAGCAGCAAAACAATTATTTTCAGCAGTGTTTTTTGCAGATTAGAATGGCAGCATTGACTCTCGGGGAGGCTTCTGTTGTGTGGCTGAAACGATCCTCAGGAGCCTAAATGAATCAATAAATAGACACAGAGGAGTAAGGTTGTCCACCCAGCTTTAAAGCCTCTTCTTTCCACAGTTTGCCAGAATTTCCTTGGAATAAGAATCCAGGCAAAAGAGAGGCAGAATCTGGGGCAAATGAATATAAACAACGTTCCAAACTGAGCCAGGGAGAAAGAATGAGTGCATCACCAACTGGAAATTATTCTAGATCTGTTTCAGCATGCGCGATGCACCAACTGAACCGTCTGGAATTACTATCCCTTTCATAGTCACATTTCATAACAAAAGGACTTATTCCCCAGCTGTGATCATCAGCCTTTAACTGAACCCAGATTATGCAAGAAACAGAAGGTTTAAGGGCACTCGCACGCCATGAAGGAAGAGAAGACCATGTTTACAATCTTTCTGTCCAGCACTGCTGCCAAACTCTTCCTTCCAGCATTCTGCTAAAGCCCACTTTTGAAATCAGTAAAAACAGGACCTGGCTGGCCTGAACTTCCCCTGGTTCTAGAATTTGGAAATAGCTGTCATCTGTTGGATGCTCATGTGAAAATCTCTCTGTCCCACACTGGTCCCAAATGGGCTGCCCTTGGAATCAGACGGGGAGATCTTGCTCCCATCCGCCTTTCAAGTAAGAGTAAGCCGCCCAGAGTCCCCCCGTTGTGGGGAGATGGG